TGGCTTCTTATAAGCTTGAAGGGTCAGCAGCGTTTTGTTAGGTGGGAAAGAAGCAAGGAATATTTTAGGTGGAGTTAACCATATGAACAAAGACGTAAAAGGTGAAAAACTCACTGTATCTGGCAGAGTGGCTGGCACGCATAGAACTTAATATATGTTCATTGACTGAACACTCCCTATCAGCTAGTTTGGTTTGGCTGACATGTATTAGTTGGGTCCAGGCAGAAAAATGCTTCGCTCTAGAGAATTTAATATAGGGAATTGTTATGCAGGTGATGGAAGTGCTGAAAGTATGGGTAACCCAGAGATTGGAAAAGTAGGAAACCTCTATCATCCTTAGTGCCACACAGGGTCACTGGGAGATGGTGTTACTAAACCCAGAGGCATGGGCCATTCAGTGGTGGAGGGCTGCCTGGTGGGGACTGGGAAATGGCAGAGCCCCAACCCAATCTAAAGCAGAGGGAGAGAAATACTTTGACTTCTCCCTTTCTCCTGCCCTCCTGTCTTGGGTCACCGCCTTACTGGGAAACCAGTTGGTAAGTGAATCTGGGTTCCGGGGCTCTGTCTTCTTCACTGGTGTACGCTGGTGCTTAAATAATCTATAGGACTCAATTTTGGGGTGACTGGCTGACTTTCAGACTGAATGAATTTGGTGGAAAGTAATCAAAGAACTGTGGAACAGCAGTGAAAGTCCAGCTGAGAGTCTGTAGCTTATGGTAGTTTCCCAAATCTCAGTAATCTGGACAGATAAAAACAGTGTTTCCCTGGCTGGGCCTGGCAGGTGACAGTGACAGAAAAAAATAGAGAATAGAGAGACCATGGGAATACAAAGAATTTTTGAGATGTCTGACCAATTGGGTCCAGATTGGTTAGGGAGGAAAATGTATCCTGATGGGGTGGAGGATTGGGAGAGTAATGGTGGCTGCAATGCTTGAGATCAGGACTTCACAATCTTTGGGGGTGGGGGCCAGGCATCTGTATTACTGAAGCCACCTCAGGTAATTCCAAAGTGCAGCCAAGGTTAGATTAGAAGGAGGAAGGCTGGGTGCCTGGGTGGCTCAGTTGGTTAAGCATCTGCCTTGACTCAGGTCATGGTCCCAGAGTCCTGGGATTGAGGCCCGTGTCAGGTTCCCTGTTCAGCGGAGAATCTGCTTCTCCCTCTGCCCCTCCTCCCACTCATTCTCTTAATTTCTCTCTCTCAAATAAATAAAATCTTAAAAAAAAAAAAAGGCTAACAGATTGGAGTACCCTACTCTGAGAGTTCAGAATCGTGACCTTTGAACAGTTTCAAGGAACAAGTCTAAGGCAATGATAGCAATTGGCGGAAGTGGAGTGGAAATGAGGGTAACTGGAATTGATGACCTTGAATTTGAGACTGAGGAACTGTAGGGTCATCTTGAAATGCCTTTCATTAAATCAGGATAGTGATTTCACTAAAGGAAAAACCAAGCATCTCTCTAAAGGTAAAATATGTAAAAAGGGCAGCAGTTGCGGTCAGCAAGGCTTGGGGAAGGCACTGGCCCAGTTGTTCAGTACCCTCTCATCTCACTCCGATACCTCGTCCCCTCCACAGCAAGGCAGCTGAGATGACCTGTAGTGAAGCTGAAGCGGGGAGAAGTGGCAGATTTGGCTGGAAGGGCAGCTGTTAGATAAATTAGCCAAGGTTTTAATGAGCTTCACATTCCAGAAGCTATGACTTGTTCTCCTGGTCTCATTGCTATTTTGGTGTGTGTCTGTAAATGTGTGTATATATGCACACACACACTTAAGGAAGAAGTAAGTCTTACTGATAATACACTGACTTTAGGATACAGAAAAAGTCCAGTTAATCACACTCTCTTGTTTGTACTTTAATGTTACTCTTCTGAACTTCCCTGAGTTAGGGGGCGGGGGCGGGTAGGTGTAGGAATGAGAGACTAAACAAAGCTTCAAACATTTCTTTTTCTTCAAACATAGACAACTACAAACACCTATTTCTTTCCTGTCATTTTAAAGAGGTCAGGAAAACACCTCATGAACAAGACCTCAGAATTTCCGTATGTTGCATGGGGTTTAAGGTCAGGATTTGGTGTCTAAGCCTTGCCAGTCCCTCCTTTGCGGTTCTGGCTGTAACCATAAGAGCCCCGAGGAAGAAAGCACCACTCAGCTCATAGCTGGAAGAGACCCCCCGACTGCATCACTTCTCAGCTAAGTTGTGATGGAACAACTTATGTTCCCATCACCCCCTACCTTTAGTAAAGAAGGCGTGGCTCAGGAAAGCCCCAAGTCCAGTGTCTCACCTTCTTTGGAAGAAAGGATGACAGGCCTGCACCCTAACAGAAAAAGTGATGGCACGTTTTCTGACCTGTTAATATAGTAACTCTCTTCATTTGTAAAAGAGAGCCCAGTATCTTGGGCTCACTTCAGTCTAGTTAGCAATTCCTTCTCCCTCAGGACAAGGAAGGAAGTAGGTGGGGAATAGAATTTCCTAAATAACTATGAATTCAGTCCACTTAACCAGGCCAGAGCCTTCAGTGCCACACAAAGTGTGTGGGTCTTTTGGTTTTAGACAATTCAGTGGTATCCTGAAGAAAAATTTCATATGTCCTCATATTTTTTTTTTTAAATTACAAGGTGCTAAGCATGTTATTAGGGAAGTGTCTTGAACCTTCCAGATCGACTCCACTACTAGCTGAGTCACTGAGTGACCTCATTTGATACGCTGTAGAGTACAAACCACCCAGCTGAGCCCTGGCCCACCAAATCAGGATATGTAAGAACATGGTGGTGCTTTTGAGTCACTGAGTTCTGGGGGTAATTTGTTATGCACCGATAACTGAAACATCTACTGTCCACCACCCATCATCTAAAATAATTTTGCCTTCCTCACCATTCATGTTAAGTATTTACTGAGAACTCTTTTCCACTTCAGAACCTCTCTCCACTGTTATCCAACTTCACGTTTCATAAGTTCATTCTGAGGTTTCATTTCTTTGATAAAACACTGATCTGCTATGACATTTAATTACAGGTCATGCTATGAACCCTGCTTCTTGGAAGCTATTAGTAACTGGAAGCATTCCTTCTTCACTTTTAAACTAGAAACACTTCTTCCTCACTTTTTAACTTGTGCAATCATGAGAAGACCTGCATTTTACATCTCAACCGGTCAGATGCTTGTTAGAAAGCATTTTTTGTTTCAACTCTTACTGAAATCTTTCAGTAAAATGTTCTGGGTTATCACTCAATAGTTGTCAGTGATTGAGAGAGTGAACCGAAAAGTACATACCTCAGAAATGGTATTAACATTTTTGTCATTTGATGTTTTTTTGTAACTTACTAAGAGTGGGATCCCATAAGTTTATCCCAGTTACTGAAGGTTGTATTTAAGCCCCCTTTTCTTTTTCTTTAAAATCCTGCCATGTATCCTCTGGCAAGCCAAGAATAGCCTCTTATCAGACATCCTTGTTATGGGGACCCATGAGAAGTTTCTCAGGTCTTAGGAATACTGGGATTTCTCTAAAGCAGTTAGTTTGTTTTTATCTTCTAATAATAGTGAACACAGAACTGATTTTTGTGTTAGATACTACGAAGCTCAGGGCCCACCTTTACCAACTGTCACACAGGTTCGTGGAAACATTTTACTAACTTCACCCTGGCTCCATCTGATTTCTTCCACTGTCCTTTTCCTCTCTCCCTAATTTCCTCACTTAACAAACTAGTTGTGTTATAGGCATTTTAATAAGTGGTCTTAAAAGCAGTGTACAGCAAGATGGGGTGTTTCAGAAATCTTTCAAGCTCTTAACAGTATTTTGAAGGCCCTTCTTTCATCTGCACTCTACCATGTCCGCACTTTGTATGCTTTGTAATGCTTCTCAGTTGAGGAGTCAGGGTATTTCCTCATAGTCAGGAAGCCTTAGTCAAGTTCCAGTAAGTGAACCTTCAGTGACACAAGCCAAAAGTCACTAAAACCTGCTTCTCAAAAGAACTGCTTTGCTTAAAAAAAAACAAGGAAAATACATCCGTTATTCAAATATCTAGATATTTGTAGAAGGCTGGGAACACTAAGACTTCCTTCTGACCTTTACCTGTAATTATACTTTGTTAGTCGTCTTTGGTTTTGATGATTTAAAATAAATTTCTGAAGATCACATTTGAGATGAAGAAACTGTATTAGCAGTTTCAGTTCCTTAAAATAAACATTAACTAAATGATTTTTAGTTGAATCATTTCAGTTTATTTCACTAAGTACTTTGTAATTGTTAAAAACTCTGTCTTGTTCTAAGTGGCTTACAAAAATGCATATAATGAAATAAAGTTAAAAATGTATCTGTGGAGACAACAAAAGAGAGCATGTTAAAATGTAACTAAAAGTAAATACTGAAAACACATACATCTATGGTGGCTTAAGGACAGAGGCAGACTTAGCGCTTAGGCTCAGTTCTCTTTCCTTAGCACTGCCTTCTAATCCAGAAAGCTCTAATGCTGCTTTTTGTGTGGCAAAGATTAGAGGTCACTAATGTTGTTTTACTTGTAATACAAACTGTAACATCACAAATATGTCATGGCTGCAGTTTTCAAGTACCAAATAATTCAACCTATAGTAGCATTCATGAGTCAGAAACCATCCCAAAAATTACATGGTAGGTAAGAAGTTGATCCACACCTTGACCCTGAGAAAAACTGGGTAAGTCCTCAACTTTCTGTGCACAGAGACATCATACCAAATGATTAACAATTCTGAGTGTTCTTACGGCAGAGTGGCATGAGTTGAAGCAATGTTCTGAGAACAACTCCTTTTGGAAGAATATGCAAAGGGTAAAACTATTACTTCTTCTTCTTGTTTTGGTATTTAATTCTTTCATAGCGGGTCCTTATTTTACCCAGTGGAAGGCAAAACTTAATATTCTTGGAATATAAGTTTTTCTGAAAAAGAGAACAGATAAGATACTTGCCTAACTCCACCTATGAATGTCATTGTCAGTTCTATTACTAGGTTGGTTATGATCCCAAGCAATATATACAAAATACGAAATTTTATATTTATTGAAATCCCAAGCAGTTTGCTGGGAAAAGAGAGGTTCCATAAATAATGATATTAAAGGAAGAATCCACAAAGAATCATTACGAGAAATGGCCAACACTCCTTAGGTACCACAAATACATCAGTCAGGATGTATACTGCTACTGGAGATGAAATAAACTGAACCAATTTAAAATTATTTCTGACCAGGTTAAAATTATACTGATTTAATAAGCCTAATTCACCTGGAACACAACACTGACTCTGGATAAAATTAATCTTTCCTCCCGTTTCATTTCCTAAAGAAAGAAAACAGTTCTCTTGCTTCATCCACCTTTAACCCAAACTTTCTAGGAAGTCTTCATTACCTTTTTAAGTCCTTTTTATATAGCTGCATTTAGTTCTTCTGTCATATACTAACATACCTTTGCTCCAAGAATACTCTGGTTTCAACTGTGACTTTTAATGCTCACAACAAGCAGATTTCTGTATCCCAGCTTCACCAATTTTCTGGACCTGAACTTAGAAAGGGGCATTTCGGGTATACTGTCTCCACTCTACACACAAACACACCTGGCATTTCTGGTATACCATCTCCCCCTACACACTAACACACACGTGCGTGCGCTCACTCTATAGTATTGTTTAGCTTTGATCATGTAATTTTAAAGTTTTTTGTATATGTTAACAAACTTTATACCTTCTAAATGTTTAATTCAATTTTCTTCAAATAACCAAGTGTTGAAAACTTTACAAAAGTGTTATTCATCTTAAAATGGTTGAGGTTTCCCTTTTTCTCCCTCAAAGGGTCTAAGCATGGGTGGGTTTTTTGTAGACACACCTGTTTTTATCCCAAAGGGTATATGACTGATTTTCCCTGAAGTCAACTTTTTTCAAACAGGGCCAGTCTATATTAATTTGTGTGATGATGTTAATTTTCAAAACATCTTGAGTAAATAAAGGGAGATATAAAATACTGTGGCTTGCTTGGTGAATCTTAATTGCGAAATTTCTTCTTCTTCCGAAACTTCTTTCCTGCTGCATTTGCTGCTTTTTCAGCCATGATCTCTGAGTACTTCCTTCGGTTATATCTAAAAAGAAAACCAAACTTTTAAGTTCTAAAGTATGATAACAGAAGTTAATGTGATGGGGTGGTGTAACTACTAAATCTCCAAAAACTGTTTGCATTTTCACTATTTTAGCATATTTGTACTAAATTCCACCATGTGGAGCCATATTTGGAGCTGCGGGACTGAGCAGTGACCAAGACAACCATAGTCCCTACCCTCGTAGAGCCTGCAGTCTAGTGAGAAAAAAATGGCAACTATAAGGGAGGGCTTTTGAAAACTTTCAACCACTGGAGGCCCATGTACCATATCCAGTTATCAGATGATATCAAATGCTTTAAAGATTTTTATAGGATGAAATGTAAAAATAGCAGACTGATGTAGAAGCAGGTATGAGGCTCCAACTATCTTTAAGCCAGACATTAAAGTCAGACATTAAAGAGATCTGCACTAAATCATTTTTGTTTTGTTCATGAAAATATATGTCAATGTGTAATGGGATGTTTTATTTTAAAAGGAATCAATAAATATTTTTAAAGTTTTTTAATTTTAATTGCCATTGTGGTAAATATTGATAAATGTGGTCCACAGAAGTTCAAAAGAAGGGCTTATCAGTTCAGTTTGAACATAATCAAGGATGGAAAAAATGAGATTAGAGCAGAAATAAAATAGAGGCTAAAAAAACAAAAAAGCCATACTCATTAAGAAAAAAGAGAACTCAAAATCAGGAATGAAGAATTAACAGATGCCACAGGAATACAAAGAATTACAAGAGAATACTATGAAAAAGTATATGCCAATAAATTGGGACAATCTAGAAAACAAATGGATTGCTAGAAACGGACAATCTTCTAAAACTAAACAATCAGGAAGAAATAGAAAAATTTGAACAGATCTATTACTAGTAACAAAACTGAATCAGTAATCAAAAGACTCCCAACAAAATTCAAGACCAGATGGATTCACAGCTGAATTCTTCCAAACATTTAAAGAAGAGTTAATACCTATTCTTCCCAAACTATGCCAAAAAATAGAAAAGGAAGGAAAACTTCCAAATTCATTTCACGAGGCCAGCATTTCTCTAATACCAAAGCCAGACAAAGACACTACAAAAAAACAAACTACAGGTCTATATGCCTGATGAACAAAGATGCAAAAGTTCTCAACAAAATATTAGCAAACCAAATCCAACAATACATTAAAAACATCATTTACCACAATCAAGTGGGATTTGATCCATGTATGCAAGAGCAGTACAATATTTGCAAATCAATGTACACTGACAAGAAAAGAATAAAAACCATCTGATCATCTCAATAGCTGATCAAAAAAAAAAAAAGCAAACCATTTGTTGAGGTGTCTGTGTGGCTCAGTTGGTTAAGTGTTGGGACTCTTGATTTTGGCTCAGGTCATGATCGCAGGGTAGTGAGATCAAGCCCCGTGGTGGGCTCCCTGCTGGGTGTGGAGCCTGCTTAGGATTCTCTCTCTCTCCCTCTGACCACCCCATCCCCCGGCATCTTTTAAAAAAAGTCAAAGTACAACATCCATTCATGATTTAAAAACTCTTTTAAAAATCTATAAAAAACTTATCAAACTCAACACCCAAAGAACAAATGATCCAATCAAGAAATGGGCAGAAGACATGAACAGACATTTTTCCAAAGAAGACATCCAAATGGCCAACAGACACATGAAAAAGTGCTCAATATTGCTCAGCATCGGGGAAATCCAAATCAAAACCTCAATGAGATACCACCTCACACCAGTCAGAATGGCTAAAATTAACAAGTCAGGAAATGACAGATGTTGGCAGGGATGCGGAGAAAGGGGAACCTTCTTACACTGTTGGTGGGAATGCAAGCTGGTGCAGCCACTCTGGGAAAGAGGGTCCTCAAAAAGTTGAAAATAGAGCTACCCTACGACCCAGCAATTGCACTATTGGGTATTTACCCCAAAGATAGAAATGTAGGGATCCGAAGGGCTACGTGCACCCCGATGTTTACAGCAGCAATGTCCACAATAGCCAAACTATGGGAAGAGCCAAGATGTCCATCGACAGATGAATGGATAAAGAAGATGTGGTATACACACACACACACACACACGCGCGCGCGCGCGCGCGCACACAATGGAATATTATATAGCCATCAAAAGGAATGAACTCTTGCCATTTGCAACGACATGGATGAAACTGGAAGGTATTATGCTCAGCGAAATAAGTCAATCAGAGAAAGACGTATCATATGAGGAATTCTTAATCTCAGGAAACAAAGGGTTGCTGGAGTGGTGGGGGGTGGGAGGGATGGGGTGGCTGGGTGATAGTCATCGGGGAGGGTATGTGCTATGGTGAGCACTGTGAACTGTGTAAGACTGATGAATCACAGACCTGTACCTCTGAAACAAATAATACATTATATGTTAAAAAAAAAAAAAGAAGAGAAAAATGAAGGGGGGGAGAAATCGGAGGGGGAGACAAACCATGAGAGACTATGGACTCTGAGAAACAAACTGAGGGTTCTAGAGGAGAGGGGGTGGGGGGATGGATTAGCCTGGTGATGGGTATTAAAGAGGGCACGTTCTGCGTGAAGCACTGGGTGTTATAGACAATGAATCATGGAACACTACAACAAAAACTAATGATGTAATGTATGGTGATTAACATAACAATAAAAAAACTCAACAAAGTGGGTTTAGAGGAAACATACCTCAACACAATAAAGTCCACATATTAAAAATACACAACTAACGTGATACCCAATGGTGAAAAACCGAGAGCCTTCCCCTCTAAGATTAGGAACAAAACAAGGATGTCCATTCTCACTGCTTTTATTCAATATAGTACCAGAAATCCTAGCTGCAGCAATTAAATAAGAAAAATAAAAGGCATCCAAATTGGGAAGGAAGAAGTAAAACTGTCACTATTTACAGATGACATGACACTACATAAAGAAAACCCTAAAGACACCACCAAAAACTATCAGAATAAATGAATTCAGTTAAACTGCAGGATACAAAATTAATATACAGAAATGCTGTGTTTCTATACACTAATAACAAAGTAGCAGAAAGAAAAGTTAAGAAAACAATCCCATTTACAATTGTACCACAGAAAGAACAAAATACCTAGGAATAAATTTAACCAAGGAGATTGATAGCTGTAAGACACTGATGAAAAAAACTGAAGACAACACAAACAAATGGAAAGATATCATGCTCATGGAAGAATTAATATTCTTAAAATGTCCATAGTACCCAATGCAATATACAGATTCAATGCAATTCCTAGCAAAATATCACAATAGCATTTTTTGCAGAGCTAGAACATATAATCCTAAAATTTGTATGGAACCACAAAAGACCTCAAATAGCCAAAGCAATCTTAAGAAAGAACAACAAAGCTAGAGGTATCATAAACCCAGATTTCAAGATATACTACAAAGCTATAGTAATCAAAACAGTAAGATACTGGCACAAAAACAGATCAGTGGAACAGAAGAGAGCCCGCAGATAAACACACACTTACATGGTCAATTAATCTATGACAAAGGAGGCAAGAATATACAATGGAGAAAAACAGTCTTTTTAATAAATGGTGTTGGGAAAACCAGCTACATGCAAAAGGATGAAACTGGACCACTTTCTCATACCACACGCAAAAATCAAAATGGATGAAAGACCTACATGTCAGACCTAAAACCGTAAAACCCCTAAAAGACAACATAGGCACCAATCTCTCGGGACATTAAGTCCTAGCAATAAAATATTTATGGATATGTCTCTTCAGGCAAGGGAAATAAAATTAAAAATAAACAAGTGGGACTACACCAAAATAAAAAGCTTCTGCAGAGCAAAGGAAACCAATAAAACAAAAAGGCAACCTACTGAATGGAAGAAGATTCATGTGCAAATGATAAGGAGTTATATCCAAGATATATAAGTAACCTACACAACTCACACCAAAAAACCAAACAATCTGATTAAAAAATGGTCAGAGGACCTGAACATTTCCCCAAAGAAGATATACAGAAGGGCAACGCACACATGAAAAGATGCTCAACATCACTTATCATAAGGCAAATGCAAATCAAAATCACAGTGCGACATCACATCGTACCAGTCAGAATGGCTGATATCAAAAATACAAGAAATAACAAATGTTGGCAAGGATTTGGAGAAAAGGAACCTTCATGTACTGTTTGTAGGAATGTAAATTGGTGTAACCACCATAGAAACAATGTAGAGGTTCCTCAAAAAATTAAAAATAAAAATACCATATGACTTAGTAATTCCACTACTGGGTATTTACCCAAATAAAACAAAAACACTAACTCAAAAGGATATATGCACCCCAGCATTATTTACAATAGCCAAGATATGGAAGCAACCCGTGTCCCATCAATAGATGAATGAATAAAGATGATGTGAGACACAGACATATACAGACACACACACACACACACACACACACACACACACACACACACACACA